CGAACATATCGCGGCACACCGTAAACCCCGTAAACCTATTCATCGTGTATGTTCTTGAATGCAATCTTAGATGACAACCTTGAATATGGTTTCTTCGTCTTTTAATTGTATTTGCTTGAACCAAGGCGATAATAAGTGATGTTTGAAGATAATAACTACCAACATTCCACTATTTCTCAAAAATTTCTCTGCGGATGTTACTATTATTTTTTGTGTAACATTTTTCTTTACAGTTACATTGATAGTCAATAAACCCTTTAGAATCTACGTGTAACTCTCTTCTAGAAATATATGGTTTATTGGTGTTTCTCTCCGAGCACTTCTCCGAATTGCTTCTGTTTGTCTAATGTAGTTCCGTTCTCTTCGTTTTCTTGGTCTTCCTTTCCTTGGCTCTTTTTGGTTTACTTGTTGAGGATAATTTTCGTTGTTAGAATCGTGTATTGTATTTGCACTGCTGTCTGATGAATCATCGGTACTTTCTGGATATGAGGCTTTATCATTTTGAAAATCAGGACCTGCAATATTGTCGTCAAAGTTACTCTCCTCAGATAAATTGGTGTTTCGGCCTTCCATAGTTGTATTATGAGCTCAGCTGTACTATTGTACTCACTTGCACCCCTTGGATAAGTATCTTTATAATTACCTAAGCTATGATTATCCTGAAACAAAGTTATAATAGGTAAGTGGTGTATGTATACGGTAACCAGTATTTTTTTCAAACTGACTATATAAAAAAGCGGCATATAAATATATTTTGATTTATTACAAAACACCAAAGTAATTATGTCTGACTACTTAATTTGTATTTATCGAATAAGATGATTAGGAATATTATCGTGCAAATACTACTTCAAAAAACATCTTAGCAAAATACGAAAACATCTAGATACCTATGTGCATATCACTTCGGATTCCACAAATATCAAATTTCTGAAAAAGAACCAATAAGAAGAAAATCCATATTATTAATACTAGACATTTTAGAACATGGAACCAAACAATAATAAAAAGTACCAAACCCCCACATTTTACTTCATAACTTCATTATTGAAAAAGGAACCACGTAACATATTTGAGGTTATAAAATACACATAAAAATGTTATAATTTGTAATTTGCTGTTTATTATGCGCATTGGATGGTCCTGGCAATACTTCAGAGGCTTTTAAAAGATTTAAGATTTGTTTTCCATGCGACATTCTGATAAACTTTCAGATTATTTCGAAATCGCTAAAGCACAGAATAATAAACAATCAGAATGCCCACTCTCAGATGCCGCCTTTGAAGTTTTTCAGCACGCTCGCCATGTTTTAGAAGGAAACACAGAACACAGACTTGGATTGAAAATCACATTTGGTCATAGATAAATAATATATTAGAAACATTTGGTGTAATGCATGATACAAATAAACAGATAAAATACCGCGCATGTAGGCGTGGCTTATGTGACGTCAGCTTATGTTCAGATCCAATATTTAGTAAAATAATATTTTGGGAGTGTTAAAGGCTTTAAATTTTTCGCAATATGAGGGGTGCAGTGTATGGTTGTGCCGTTGACAATATGTGCAGGAGTTTTTTATCCGGTATATCATTCTATAGCTTTCCAAACGACAAGGAAATGCAAGCAGTTTGGAAACATTTGTGTAAACGCCAGGATAGTTTTAATGTTAAATTTGATCGTGTTTGCTTTAAGGACTTTATTGAAAGTGATTATGAACCTAACTTAAAACATGAATTGCTGGGGTATACACCAACAAAACATCGTTCTTTAAAAAAGACGCTGTTCCGTCAATAAATTTCTCTAAAACAAATAAACAGAACGAGAAGGCGAATTTGGATAGAACGAACCGGCAACATAAAAAACAACGAAAAAGTAATATTTATTATATTAAAGTGGTAAATAATTATGTCTAAAGATTTCATTACTAAATATTTGTTTTTGTAGAGCGGAACTTTGTGACAATAGTGGAAATAGTTTTGATGATGATGTGAAGGATGGTGCTTCTTGTTTTATCCCCGGGAATGCTGTTTTGGAAAAATTACCTACTCGTCATAGTTTTGGATTAGTTTGTAGTTAAAAATACCTACCTAGCATAGATTATATACTATCTTAACTGGTCTGTGTTTTTTTATATCTAGAATATATGATCCTGTATACTTTAACTCTAATGACTTTTTTAAAGGGTTAATACTGAAGAAGATAATCGGGACAAAATAACACCTGGCCTTTAGATCAAATAATACTGGTACTTCAGATCTAAAAATTATGCATACAATATCAAAGGAGTCTCTTTACATTCAAGGCACTGGAAGACAAAAAGTGAAATTAGCAACCAAGTTATTTTCCCACACCATCATTACCAAAATGACGGACACAGTAAAAAATCTCCTAATTAAAGAAAGAAATGCTTGCTTACATTCCAAAGGTGAAATAAAAGTACATTAAGACTATTTAATAAAACTCATGACACCTATTCATTAAAACTTCTATTTGAAGATATAAAAACTAGATTTTCTACCAAATATATATTGACATCTAGGTTAAATCAGGATGTATCGGAAAATTTCTTTGGAGGTATAAGAGCCAAAGGAGGACTTAATGATCATCCAAATGCATTGAAATTTAAATACCGTATACGATCCTATATTCTTGGAAGAAATGAAGGCTTTCTTTTCAGCTTTGGAAATGTCGATGAAGATGAAACTCCTACTATACCTTTGGATAGCGCAAATTTATGTGGAAAATATTTTTCTTCAATTCAAAATAACACTATTAATGATTCAGAGGCACCTACTAAAATGTTTGATAGTAAGCTCAGTATAGAACTCACATTCTAAACCGAATATGACGGTTTAGAAAATTTGGCAGATTATATATGTCACAAGCTGAAGGATATACATTCATCTGTAACTTTATCTAGTTCAAACGAGTTTACCTGGATTTCTCATTGAAGTGAAGGTGGTCTTTAATAACCTACTCATCAAATGATGGAATATCTTGAAAAACTGGAGAAAATTTTTAATTCTGTAAATAAAGATGATTTATTTCTTTCTAAATAATATTAAAAAAAAATAAATAAATAATGATGAGAGTTCTTCAGTGTACTCTAATTAGACAAAAACTTGATATTTTAGATCCTGGATGTTTTTTCGAATTAGACAATTAAATAACAATTTGCATACTAACATTTTACTTTGTCTAGAAAAAGGAAAATGGCAAAAATTGTACATTAAAGATGTTTAAGAATTAAATCATTCTTTCATTTTACTCAGAACCTACCATTCCACAGTTTTTAATTTGTGACATTCGGCCTAGGCTCCCTCCATCAAATTTGACTCTCATGGGAAAAGCGTTATTTTGTACAATATACTAGTTTAAATACTTAAGTAAATTCACGTAGCAAATAAAACATCTATTTAATTATATTAAAATTTCAACAGTTCGTTTCATCCGCAAGCATGGATACATTTTGAAAATTGAGCACAAAGTGACGTCATGCGCGAGATGTACGAGTTTAGAGCGTAGCAAGATCATACTTGTATCCTTATATCATGGGTGTAATGGGTCTATATCGAAATATGATTTGTGAGGTTATATAATTGATTATATTTATGTTTAATTATATTATATTTAATTATGTTATATTTATATTTATGTTATTATATTTAACAATGTTAAAATAATTGTATAGTATGTCTATGATTGCCGTAAGTCAATTAAACCTGGTTAATTTTTCTATTCACACTACATAAATTTTCATTAAACAACACTGGTTCCCTTTAAAACATGGCGGAACATCTGCGCGAACGAGATGCGCATACTTAATTTTCCAAGGAGAGTTGCCATGGGCATTCTGATTGTTTATTATTCTGTGGCTAAAGCTTGGCCTAAAAACGGTGGATCTTTGTTCGTTCTAAAATTAATATTTCGCGAAACTGTACAAGAACATAGACCTTTTGTCAATAGATGGCGCTAGAGCTATTATTTAAGATTTATATTCTGGAGCTGGATGAAGGAGTATTGTGTAAATATATTTAATGACAGAAACTCATATTTCAAAATTTGGCGGTTGGTTCCCTATTCTATATCTACAGTATTGTGCGAATTAATGGAATCATAGGCTGTTTTAATGAAAAACAGTTTATTTAGTAAAAAATTATCTTTTGACAAAACTATAAAGGTAAACGTACATAATTCAGTGGGAAATATGTCCCCGTTTGGTAGCAATTACTGCTTTTACCCGTTTTGGCATAGATTCTATGAGTTTCTGTCAGTTGTCAGATATCCTTTCATCTCGATACCAAACCTGAATGGCCGCTTCTATCATTTTTGTTTTAGTGGTACAGTCGATTTTTCGCAGTCTAGCTTTGCAAATGGCCCATAAATTTTCAATGGGGTTGAGGTCGGGCGAATTACCGGGCCAATCTAAAACATTAATCTTCTTATTTTTGAAAAATGCCATCATTTCCTTTGATTTGTGACAGGGAGCAGAGTCCTGTTGAAGAATCGCTCCTCCTTGGGGTTGACATTTTTGGAGTTGTTTGTCCAAATACTTTTCCAACATGGATTTGTATTTTTGGCTATTCATCATGCCTTCAATTGACACCAAAGATCCAACCCCCATGTATGAAAAACATCCCCAAAACATTTTCTTGTGAATATTGAAAAAATGAAAAAAAATTCACAGTGATTCCATTAATTCGCACAATACTGTACATCCATTTGGTTCCATACTTTATCCCAACCTCTTATTATAATACAAGCATAAAAATAATTAATCTCCGAAATTTCTTATCTTCTTTCTTTCTTATCTTCCCCCGTATTATCAGCGTTGGAAATCTGCGGCTACCTCACGTACTTTTTAATTATGGTGAGTTGCGTCGATAAAAAATGATTATTTGGCTAATTTTAGTAGTGAATCCTTGAACGACTGGATCGTTAGCTGCGTAGTGCGAACAAGCAGACCACAGCCTCCACAGATTGCAAAGTAGTTTACAACCAATTTGTTTTTGTTTATGTGATATAAGTGACATGAAATAATACCTGTCAGGTTTGTTGAGTTTTATTATTAGAAAATTGTTTTGTTTTGAAGATGTAAAAAGTTCGTACGAGGTCTTAAGCTTAGAAGAAATTTCAGTAATGCATTTAATAAACAAATGTGATAGGTACATTTTCAAAATGCGTATTTAACATTCTTCCAAGCAACTCTAATATATATATATATATATATACATATATATATATATATATATAATATCAAAAATATAATATATGGACAATAACTAATATGACGTTTTAAAGTAGAGTGAGATGATTAACCTTGACTACAATCAGTAATTTTGATTAAATTACCTATTACCTTATATATCCCATGGTTCAAATGACAATAAAACCACTTGAAAATAAATTAATTTGCCCTACTGTCACTGGTTTCTCCTAAAATTTTTTATAATTTTTACAAGACCGCTTACTATAAATTTATGTAAACTTTTCTTGAACTGCACCACCTACTAGTCTTGCCGAACTTAATTCTTCCTTGTTAAACTAGTGAGACAATATTAAGATATTAACACAAATGGCAGATCATTTTAGATACTAGGCTGATAGATAGAAACCAGATGCTTTTGCAAGTGAAGTTCACATAATATTCTTCTTCTTAACATGTCCCACCATTGGCGAACTTCATGGCCCATTTTACTCAATCTGCAGCCGTTCTGAAAAGTTCTACTGACGTTTTCCCACTCCATTTTTCAGATTCTTCAACCAGGACCTGCGTCTTCTCACCGGTCCTCTTTTGCCTTCCACCTTCCCTTGTATGACCAGCCGCATTTTTATATTTTTTCATTCTTTGTAGCATTTCCGCATTTGCTATGTGTTGGAGAACAAGTTTGGAAATGCTGATTTAAAAGCTGGCGACTTTGTATCGGTGAAAGTTCAGGGGAAAAAAAGGTTCCGTTATTATTTAGCTGAAATAATACGTTGTGGCGAAGAAAACGAACTAAAATATTTACGTCGGTATAAAAACACCGATAAGTTCTTTACTGATGCAACTACAAGCTTTAATTTTCTCGAAGAAGATGTAATTGCATCATTTTGGTCACTGAATTAATGTTCCACGGTACAATGCTAGGAGGTCCAAAGTACAAGACCAAATTGTACCTCGGTAGATTCTACAACAAATTAAAAATGATTAAATTTATGTCTTAAACATATTTCTTTAAACCTTTTAAATACATTGGTGCTTAAGAAACATATTGCTAATTTGCTATGTTAAATCCCAACTCAATATGTTAAATAGTAAAATAGTTACAGGTCATAAAAAAGTGTCCCAAGGTACAACACTCTCCCCTATTCGCTTCGGCGGTAGATATACTAAAATTGAAACGATACATAGAAGATTAGCCCCTGCGCAAGGATGACACGCACAATCGTGAACCATTCCACATTTTTTATTTATCCTAAATGTTATAACACCTATCCGTGGTCCAGTTTTGTTTGTCTGCTAAGAATGTCTTGATGGGCCCCTAGACGAGAAGTAAGTGACCCTGTAAGTTTCCTTGTCGTATATTCTTCTATTAATTATTCGTTAGTTTTCTATTAGAGATAGGGTTGTGCCTTTGTCTGATTAGAGAATCTGTTGCAACTGGTTGAATAACTAATGTCTATGCCATTAAAAAAAATTTTTTTTATAAATCCAACTGAAACTTTATTAAGGAAAATGGTATAAAAATAAGCTAAGAAATACAATATGATAATATCAGCAGACAAAACCAAATGTATGACAACATCTAAACACCCACTACGGTGTAAAATCGAAATTGATGGGAAAATAATAAAGTAGGAAGCAAGGTTTAGATATTTGGGAATAGATATAACTAGTTACGGAGATGTTGAAGAAGTACAACAACAAAGCTTAAAAGCCAGTAAAGCGACGGGTTCTCTTAATGACACAATCTGAAGAACAAACACCAAGACCAGACCAGAACAAAGACAAGACACAAAAACAAGAATCTATAAAGCAGCAATTAGACCTATATTAACATACACGGCGGAGACAAGACCTGACACATCTAAAACGAGACGACTGCTAGAAACAACAGAGATGAAAATACTCCGACGAATATCAGGGAGAAGTCTATTGGATATGGAGAGAAGCGAAAACATAAGAAGAGCATGCAATATAGAAGACATAAATGGATGGGTGACAAAACGAAAACAGAAGTGGAACGAACATATCAGTAGAATGGCAGAGGATAGAATAGTACGAATAGCACGAGATAAGTCACCAAATGGACGAAGAAGTATTGGCAGACCAAGAAAAATATGGTGCACCAATTTAGGAGGCTAATATTGAAGAAGAAACAGCATACATACTATAAGAAAGAAGAAGAAGAAGAAGTATAAAAATAAAATGTGACAACCTTTAGGGAGGTCGCCTTCATATGGTAAGTATAAGCCTTGCATTCTTTTTTAGAAACATTTGATTGGCGAATAGTATGAAATTTATATGCTGTATATATTCCACATAATTAAATACAGATACATGAGACAATTTACTTATAAACATTAAATTTCCTTTAGTAAATTACTGTCTTTAAGGAATTTTACCAAATCTTAACTTTTACACTTTTCTAGTAAGATTTTACTTGTTGGTCAGATAATGTGGTTGGTCTGTCTATGCAACTGGTATCTTAGACACTCTACAAGGACATGCTTAATACTTAGTGGCACATTACAGTTGTCACTTAAAGTGGGGGGATTACAATATGCCTATGGGTAAGTCGGGTATGTCTTAGATGAAGTGGAGTAGGGAAAGGTGGGGGAATATCGACGGCAGGGTAATATCAATCACTCTTAAATTTCGTCTAATGGACGTCGCAGAGCAAAACGAATGCGCACATGTTGAACGCATTAACAGCAGGTGGTGCACTGGCCATTTAGCTGTTTTTCATACGTCATAGGCACTTAATAACAAATAACAGAACAGATAATAAGCTATTTTGGACATGTGATTCGAAGAAATGGTCTTGAAAAACTTACCATCCAGGGAAAAGTAGAAGGCAAAAGAAGTAGAGGTAGATCTCCTACACGATACACGGACCATATTGTTGCTACCATTGGCGCTCCATTGTCAGAATGTGCTAGATTGGCAGAAGATAGGAAAACGTGGAGGAACATTGGAAAAATTACCTAACAGCTTCATGATATCACGATACCTGCATCAGGTTAACGACTAAGAAGAAGGCACTTAATGTCTAGTAAATTTGTCTTTTGTGGAAGATTTTTATAAGATTCTACAACCGTATTTTAACGTAAGGGCTCCTTTATTAGCTGAAGTCAGCATTTTAGTATTCAAGTTGGTTCAATTACCAGTGGACAAACCACGACGCTAGTATGCGCTTTCAGTGCCTCAGGTCAATATATTCCACCTATGTTTATTTATAGAATTAATCGGATGAAAGAAGGTTTGGACAAAAACGGTCCTATTGGGACAATATACAGATGTTCCAAATCAGGGTGGATAACGGAATAACTTTTCTTGGAATGGTTGAAACATTTTCAGCGATATGTTAATGCTTCTAAAACTATCCAGTCTTATTAGTGCTAGATAACCATACAACGCATTCAAGTCTGGCTTCCGACAATTTTTGTCGCGACAAAGGAATCAATCTCATTTCACTGCCATCGCACACCCCCCATCGTCTCCAGCCTCTAAATATCACGCTTTTTTCTCCATTCAAGACAGCTTACTACCAAGAATGTGACAAGTATATAAAACAAAAAAATATGAGAAAATAAATACAACAGACGTTGCAAAACTTGTTAAAAATGCCTTAATAGCGCTGCATCTGTTGAAAAGGCTCTAAATGGATTTCGAACCACAGGGATCTTTCCCTTTAATCCCGATGTTTTTTGCGAAGAAGATTTAATATCTATACCAGTAGTTGAACAATATCAAGATAATGTGTCTTTTTTGTCCGATACACATCAAACACCAGTTCCCCTAGATGAACTACCACGGCCCAGTGGGTTCAAAATAAAAAACTGAGACCAAAAGCAGCACAATCATCAGAAGATTCTTTATCTGAATCAGAATTAAAGGAAGTTCCAGACATTGATCTGAGCGACGATAAGAATAAATCTGTGCAGCCAAAAAATTAAAGTTTATCTCGTATATCTTTCAGTGAATTATACCCTCTACCGGCACCACCAGTCAGTAGTTATACAAAAACTAGAAACAGGCGAACTCAACACTCGACCATTTTAACATCAACATCATTAAAAGAACAATTAGAAAATTAGGTCCAAAAAAAGCAAATGAAGAATGAGGTTGAGAAGGTTAAACGAACAATTGGAGCTACTAAGATAAAAACAGAATGATTAGTTAATAAGAAGACTTACGGCGTGAAAGCACACCAAACACGAAAAAGCGATCAAATGAATTATGGTGAAAATGTCTCTGTAGTCTCTAGGCTAGTGCAGACTGCACGGAAGCAGATACTGCTACTCTTTATATTTGCTCAAACTGTAAATATAACTAAAGAAATATGTATATATATGTAGTGTAAACTTAACCATTGAGCTTGTGCATCTGTAATCGATATTTTCCATCCTTGATCGATATTACCCGATTTTTTTTAGTTTCACAAATATGTATTTTTAAAATATTTTTAATATTTTCATATTATTTTTGAAGCAGTAGTTGGTTAACTAAATGAACTGAATCTCCGCATTATAAGTTTCAAATTCGTAAAAGCTATAGCAAAAAGTCTATAATAGTTTTGTCTTAAGTAGTCGATATTTCCCCACCTTCACCTAACAACGATTAAATGAGCTTTGTTGAGAATTTGAAATTTCCATGATTTTAAAGATGTTTTCATTTACCGAAGTTTTAAAACTGAACTGTGCTATTTGTTTTGCCACAAATTTTCGACCTTTAATTTGACAAATGATTTTAATTCATTTAGTTCTCACTTCACTCGCGGTTTCAGTGTTTCTTGCTTGTTCTGCTATGCGATCCGCTTTTTCATTGCCTTGAACACCAATATGTGAAGGAATCCATAAAAATTGTACAGTATGATTGTTGTTTTGTATGGTATTCATTTCTTTTTTAATTAGGAGAGCAATTGGATGTGTAAAGTTGGTTAATGGTATTGATGGAACTGAGGGAATAGGTAATTATAAGACCATTGAATACATTACTGAAGTTAATAAGTTAAAAAGCTTTATAGATGGAATAAGGATTAAGATTTGAATGAATTTCTTTTATTAATACGGACAAAGAAGGATGCAGGGCATATCGATATAATATTCTTCTCAAATGTCATGTTTTTTTTATTTGTGGTCTATTCATTTGTTTATTTTGTTACAGGTTATTCAATATGATAGAAATAGTTTTGATTGTGACCGCCTTGGCGGTTCTAATGTACTATCTGGGATTTAAACCCATGCAGTATTGGAAGGATCGAGGAATAAAACAGGGTAAAACCGCCTGGTTTTTTGGAGATAACCTCGGTACGACATTAAAAACGGAAAGTTTCGCTGATATGGTACTCAAAGTATATAACGCAGTACCAGGAGTACGGTAAGATCGATATAATCATATTATGTAGGTATTAAGTCAAAGATTATATAAAAACAATATAAAATATGAAAAACTTGATTTGGAAGACTATGGTTAGGTATTTGTAAAGAAATTGAAATCGAAAAACTAATTTATAGAAGAGAAATGGAAATCTTTTGCACCCATGGACGAAACGCATGAAATAATATTAGTTGCATTAACATTTTAGGCTTCGGTTTATCTTAAAGAGATTTGAGCCGTAACGCGAGAAAAAATAAACATTATGCCGTAAGATAAACTTAACTATTTATTAACCTATACCATATCCTATAGAGAGTGATTCATACATTATTTTGATACTCGATATTCATATTTTTAATTTTATTTTCCAAGTTGTCCTTTGTAAGTCATTCACCATTTCCTCACCTTCGTATATATTTGATAACCATATTATGCATTTCGAATTTTTTGTTGGAGTCCGTTGTGTATTTGTGCCCATTGGTGTATTTTGTTCGCCAGTTTAAAGTTGCCGTAGAATTTATAGCGGAAAATATTAATCTTTTCCCTTAATTAAACTTCTTCTTCTCGTATCCTTTTACTTCCTCAGGCGTTGGATTGGGTTTCTGGTTCTTTTTTACCTCTTTTTCCATGCATTTCTCTTTTTGGCGATCGTCTTTAATTCTCCAATAGTTTTTGTGTTATTTCTTCCTGTTTCTTCGATCTGGTCTATCCATTTTCTTATGGGTCTTACCCTTCGCTTTTTCCTTCTATTTCTCAATTCTACTATTTGCCTTTCTGATTGCATTATATTAATGTGTCCAAACGAGAACATTTGCTTCCGTTTAATTTACTTAGTAATATGTTTCTGCTCAATAATTTGTCTGATATATATTCAGTTTTTATCCTGTCGCATTTTGTTTTTTCCGGACATTATTCTCAAATATTTCATTTCGATGGCGTTGGTTTTTGATTGATGTTTTTTTCTGAATTGTCCAGTTTTCGCGTGCATTTGTTATTATTGGCATTGTAAATTGAAGTATATACGAATGTATCTAAAGGTACTAGATTTTGACAAGAGCTCTGACCTTGTAAATAACAGATAAACTTGTGTACTAAATCGGCATGACTCATAGCTCTATTTAAAATTCATTACCTCTACTAAATATATTTATATGGGAAAATAGAATCATTAGCTAAATACGCGTGTATAGCATATTTGAAAAGTAAACTGGAGTAAATTCTCAGAAAAAAAAACTAAATTGTTAAGCATATTGTAGTACGTGTGTTTTTCGTACAACGTCAATATTTTAGCTTATTTTACGTTGGGTTTGACTATTTAGATAGAAATTTTTACGTGTCACATGGACTATCGTAAAATTTAGTTACCTGCTATTTTTAGAACAGTAGTCTAGGGATTATTCAGCTGGTCATAGACGTACTTTAAGGGAATTACATTATCTTGTTTCGGTTTACAAGATATTTAAACCATTTTTAAAGCATATTATTATATATAAATCTGTTTATTTTAGTAACTTTATTATGACAATGACCCATTAAATAACAAGGAAAAAAGAAAGTCTTAAAATAAATAGGTATTTAGTTAATGGTCTTTTGAAAGTTTAAATAGAAGAAGTCGATTAGCGAAAGATGGTTTTCGATAAATGTGAATGCTATTTTAAATAGTATAAGATTCGATTTTGTTTGGAAAATTTTTGTTTGGTTAATTTTCTTTAAATAGTCATTCACTAATATCAGAATATTTTTGTTCAGTCGATTATAAGCAAGTGAAGAGATCTGACACAGTTGTTTTTTGCAAGAGTGAATAGTGAGGTTATAGAATATGGAATTAACGAGTGATTATACACCAGTTAAAAAATTTAAGTTAAATCATTTATCACTTAACAAAAAGAGTGTTATCCTCAATGTCTATAATTATTTTAAGCAACACAAGCCTTCCAATACTATCAATATTATAGTTGAAATTTCGTCTAAAGTAATGGGATATTCAAAATCAACTGTATATAACATTTTAAAAGAGGAAAAATCAGCTGGTATAACCCCACTCTAACCTAGAACAGGAAGACCAAAATTGTCAAAAGGGAATGTGGATGAATTTTTCAAAAATGCTGTTCGTAAAATGGTCCACTCATTTTTTTTAACAAAGCAATATCAAATTTAAATAAAGTTTTACAAGCCATTACCTCTACATTAAGTAGAGACAAACTTTTTAAAGTTTTGCATGAGTTAAACTTTAAGTATGAAAAAGTTGGCAGACAGTCAATGTTTATCGACTCCGAAGAAATTGTGTGTTGGAGACGAGACTACATCAGAAAAATAAAAAAAAATGAGGACAGAAAATAAGAACATTTATTATTTAGACGAAACGTGGGTTAATGAAGGGTATACTGTAGGGAGAGTTTGGAAAGACAAAACTATAAAAACATGTCGACAAGCATTTCTGGAAGAATATTCAACTAACTATAAAAAACCAACAGGTAAAGGTCGACGATTAATTGTTACCCATATGGGTAGTATGAATGGATTGCTTAAGTAGGGTTTACTTTTGTTTGAATTAAAAAAGACCGGTGATTATCACGTAGAGATGAATGGAGACGTGTTTGAAGAATATTTCGAACAGATGATTGAATTAATACCCAAAAATTCAGTTATTGTGATGGATAACGCAAGTTACCACTTTAGATAAGTTGAACGTTTACCAACTACTCAATGGAGGAAAGATGAAATTGCAATGTGGTTAAATTCTAAGAATTTAATCTTTGACGATACAATGACAAAAGCAGAAATATTAGAGATATGTCATTGAGGAGATAGCCAAAAACCAAGGAATTGAAATTCTTCGCCTACCACCGTATCATTGCGAGCTAAATCCGATTGAATTAGTATGGGCCGAAGTTAAAGGTAACGTTGCTCAAAATAATGCAACTTTTAAATTATCAGATGTTACTAATCTTTTTCATAAATCAATATCCGAAGTAACGACTGAACATTGGCAAAAATGTATTTATCACGTTATGGATATTAAGAAAAATATGTGGGACCTTGATCATATAATAGATAGCAGTATAGAACCTATAATAATTCATCCCGGATTGGATGATACTTCATCTAAAACAGAATATGAGGAAGCTTAACTGTAGCTCAGAAGTTTATTTTACATTTAAACTAATTACCGCCAACTTCATTGTTTATTTTTTAGTTATTTATTTTTTTATTGCTAATATAATTTTTATTCTTATTTCCATAATAATTAGTATTAAGGATATTAATAACTATTAATAGGAATGTATAAAACTTACAGATTTTGAGTATGTATTTTTAATTTTCTTTTGGGTGAAAGTTTCAGGTTAGATAAAAAAAAATATGTAGGAAATCTATTAATTTATTAACCACAAAACAAAATAGCTTTTGTTAACTTACTTCTAACTCTTATTACATTATTTAGTTTTTCACCTTCGTGGTACAATCTAATCTTGCAATAATGGAGACAAATTATCTTTATTAGATTAAACAAATGGTTTGTTTTAAATTCATGATGAAACATATGTTCTTTGTATGCGTTAAACACAGAACCATGCACGTTACTCATGACATTTAAGATCAATTTTGTCATTATTTTGAAATCGTTTAATTTTTTTGAATTGCAAATTTTGCAAATTTGCAAAATTTTGCAAATATGAATGACGTCTTTCGAAGGTTGAATTAAAACTTTTTTTGATATGATATAATTTTTGTGTCTTATGCATGGAGATTGTAAATTATCACATTCAATTGCACACAAACATATCTCACAATCTAATGTTCTCTTAACTTTTTTACCAACAAACCCAGCGATATAGTTAACATCACAAACATAAGATGGCAATGTTCTTGAAAAACTTAAATTATTTACAGTATAATCCCGATCCTGGTTACTAGTTATTGTTTCCCTAATATTTTCATCAGTTATAAAGTTGTCAATGAGTTGATGATCAACAGTTTTCATTTTCACAGTATTTGTTGTGCTCATTGCTAATATTATGGAAGGTGCCTGTTCTCTACAATTAGCCCTGGTAGATCCTGTAACACTTGTGTGCATTAAGAGTCTTTAATATGCAGCTTTAAATTGTTTTTCCGTTGGGTTGTTGTTGTAACCTTCATGACTCCATAATAGAACTAAAGAAAACTTCTAAGTAATCTTGAGAAAGTTTATAGGCCGAAAGATACTCTATCCATATCCTCCACGTAATTATTCCAAATTCTAATTAGTGACTTTAAACAAATAATCATACCAATAAAACCCATCTTTCTTTGGCTTAGATAAAGGGGTTCACCATTTTTGGAACACTTAAGTAAACTAAGATATTTTATAGATCCTTCAGTTTTTTGAAAAATCGCTTGTTTATTATGTTGCTGTAAACTAGATTTTAGGTGTTTTGCCAATAAATTTCGGCTATTTAAAATATCAAAAATACCATTCATATGTTCAATGAAATTTTGAGTAGCTTCGCTATATATAAATTCTTTTGAGCTTTTATTTCTCAAATAATTTATTGCCTTAGCAACTTTTTGGCTGAACGTTCGGGCAGCTAATTTCACTTTCATTTTTTCCTTATACCAATTTAAATGCCTTCGCGTTATCCTAGTTGCAAGATGAAGGCATTCCTTTTCTTGAATGTCTACTAATTTTTGCAAATATTCCCATTTAATCGCTTTATTATTCCCGTCAAAAAATTTTTGTAATAACCTACAGTATTGCGAATAAGTTTCAAGATATGTGGAGGGTCAAATATTACATATATGGGTTGATTTGTTGCTGGATGTAGAAAATATTTTTTATTGGAATTAATCGATAAATCAACTCCAAGTTGTTTAACTATGCTAATATTTGATGCTGCATCATCAAACGTTAAACTGGTAACTGTGACATCAGCTTCATGCATTATTTTTAAGCACATTTTTATTAGATTACTTTTTTGAACACCTGATAACCCAGCGATTAAAAAGTAGCCTATCGGCAGCTTCCATGAATCATTTAAACTATTAATTAAGAATACAATTGCTTCTTTTGCTTTAATTTCGGAAGAATCGCTTTGAGGTTTACTTCAGATGTCAACATACCTAAAATTAATGTTTTCAATTTTTTAAATAGAAAATATATTGTTATGATACTTTTTATAATTGCTAATAAATATTAAGCTACACCCTAAAAACGTTTCACCATCCCATTCTATTTTCTGGTGTATAGACATTTCATCGACCATCAAAGCACATATACATGATTTTCGTTTATTTCTAAGTTCAACTACTTTTTGGTTTAATACATTCACTATTTCTTTTTGAAATCCAGGCTCACAAGCTACTACTTGATACCACTTGGAACAAGTGGTATAAAGTAGTAAAAGAAAAAGATACAGGAAAAAGTAAAATAATAGGTGCTAAATTTCTGGTTTTCTTTCAAGTTTAATTTGTTAATTTACTTACCCATGGAATGATTAATCTGTCCTTTTTTTTGTCGCTGCGTACAATTAAATGCACTGCAAGATGACACCATAATTAAAATATTAATGTATTGGAAAATTTTTAAATTGGAACACGTGAATCGTTTTATGTTGGCTTCACTCTTCGAGACGAGAGAATAGCATTACGGCGTATCTATCAGTTTTTATGGTCTAAGTTTTAAACCAATATTGAATTGAATTAATTTCTTTGTTCTAAATATCCAAATAAATTTAACGCAAACCTTTCTTTTAAGATTACGTTTAAGTTAGAAGATGTGCACGCCTAGGTATTTCGAGGTTCGAAGATTAGTATTTGGAGAATTTACTCCAGCTTATGTTTTAAATATACTATAGTAAAATATACAGTCTAGATTTGGTTACCAAATTTAGTAAATATATTGTAACAGGTTTGTCTATGATCTTTGAAAAGAACTCCTGCTTTGATGATGGTTAGTTTGCACTAGAATAAAAAATTATTAGTTTGAATCAGACCTGGTCTGTATTAATTCTGATTTAACTTGACGCAAAATATATAAATTTCCTGTACGAAAAGAATAATAGATCACCATCCAAATAATGAAGCACACCTATTAACTTAAGTCTAATTAATGGACCTCCATTTAATACAATATTAAGAGTACTGTATAAAGGTTTTTTTTAGATATTCTGGAGCATACCAATTTACTATACCCACCCTCGTTATAAAAGACCTAGAATTGATCAAGCAGATCGGTGTCAAAGACTTTGATCACTTTACCGACCACAGATCAATTATATCTGAAGAAGCTGATCCACTGTGGGCAAAAAATCTGTTTGCTTTAACAGGTACGTTGTTAAATTAAATGGTAATACATCAAGTCATTGATGTATGATGTGTATGTTCTATAGCCTACTTTTTATTCCAAGCTGTTGTGCTCTTTACTCTAACATTTATTGTTCCTTTGTGTCTTCTTCTACGTTAGGCCACTTTACTGTATTCATATTTTTAATTAAGATACTTTGCCTTCATGTGTCTGTCTCTTTTTTAATAAATGTCACATAATAAAAAATGTTTGTTATCTGAAACATTCAATCATTTTTATTTTTTTTTTTTTAAAAATATGCTTTTTCAGGACAAAAATGGCGGGACATGAGGCCAATTCTAAGCCCATCTTTTACCAGCAGCAAAATGAGAGCCATGTTCGTTTTGATATCCGAAACTGCACAAGCTTTTACCAAACACTTTTTAGAACTCGATCAAGATGTTATAGAGATCGAAATGAAAGACACATTTACGCGTTTTACCAACGACGTTATTGCTACGACTGCTTTTGGTATTAAAATTGATTCAATGAAGAATAAAGAAAACGAATTTTTCGTTATGGGTAAAGATATCACCAGCTTCAGTGGATTTTGGAAAAATCTTAAGTTCCTGGGGATAATATTCTTTCCAAGATTCTTTACAGTAAGTAGAAATATTAAGTATATAGCTAATAATAATATTTTCACTCATGTTTTAGTTTATAAAAGTTGGCATGTTCACTGGGCGTGTCAGAAAGTTTTTCACTGATCTTATCGATGACACAATTAAAGTCAGAGAAGAAAAGGGAATAGTACGTCCAGATATGATTCACCTTTTAATGGAAGCAAGAAAAGGAGTTCATCAACAAGAAGAAAAAGTAATAGATACAGGATTTGCGGTTGTTGAAGAGTCAGATTTAGGTTAGGTATTTTAATCTAGGTTTATCAGAATTTTATAAACCTTTATTTCGATTTTAGGTAAAGGAGTCGTTAAAGAGGTGACCAACGTGGACATTGCTGCTCAGGCAATGATTTTCTTCTTCGCTGGCTTTGATTCGGTGTCTTCGTTAATGTGTTTCATATCCTATGAATTGGCAATTAATCCTGACATTCAGAACAGACTTAGAACAGAAATAGAGGACACACTAGAGCAGTATAATGGCAATGTGCCATATGAAGCGATATTAAAGATGAAATATTTAGATATGGTGGTTTCAGGTAAAAAAAAGAGACGAATAGTCGTAATTAAGTTCATTTTTTTATTTCTAATAGAGAAAACAATAAAAGAAACATTTAAAAGAATTATTTTAATACAAATTAAGTGTGATTTATTTAAATTTTAATTAATTTTTTATAGAGGGTCTTCGAAAATGGCCGACAGGTGTAGCTATAGACAGAATTTGCACCAAACCCTACACGATCGAACCTACCACACCAGATGAGAAACCTGTCTACCTGGAGAAAGACACGACAGTATGGTTCCCAATATTTGCTATACACCGTGATCCTAATTACTATCCAGACCCTGAGAAGTTTGACCCTGAAAGATTTAGCGATGAAAATAAAGACAAGATTCAACCTTACTCTTACATTCCTTTCGGAGTTGGCCCTAGGAACTGTATCGGATCTAGATTTGCACTTTTGGAGACTAAAGTCGTGTTCTTTCACTTATTGTCCAACTATAAGCTGGAGCCTTCGGCGAAAACAAAGATACCGCTAAAAATTTGTAAGAAGCAGTTTAATTTAGCTGCCGAAGGGGGCTTTTGGTTCAATCTCAAACGTATCAGAAAATAAACTGAAATTGAAGTGACATGTATATAAAAGGCATTTATAAATAATCTGATTTAATATTATTATGTATTGATATTGGATATCTAGTCCATATATATTTAATAGAAAAATGGTAATATATAAGAATAATATTTACCTTTAATAGTTAAAGATTATGTAGTGTTATGCTATATTGACGTTTATTTTATTAATAAATATATTTTCACAATTTTTTGTTGTTTTATCTCATAATTTACAAATAACTTCAGAGCAGTACAAAAAGTATAGTAAAATTGTATCTTAGAAGAATAAAATCTTTATATCGGTCCTAATCGGTGGTTGACAAACATTTTCATTTTTGACTATTTGAAACTGCTTCTTTAAACAATGATTCAATGGTATCAGAAAGAATGTGTTGTTTAGCCTTGTTCACGATTCCCATTTGTTCTACTAGCAGCATATCTTGCCTTTTGCTTGAATATACCTCAACATTTTCCAATATTTATGTTCTTTTTTATTAATAATTATTAATAATAAATTATTTTTATTTTAATCGTCCTCGTGATATTTGAAATGATTCCTTAGCAGTTTCCAAATCTCGCTTTATTTTATTTTATTCGTTCTCTTTAAGAAGGTTGCTTATTTTCTCAAGTATTTTAACGTGCATGAATGGCACGGACTAAAACCTCAGATTTGTATATACTACATAAAGAAATTACTACAGAACAAATCCTCCGGTGTAGAGTAAACTGGTCCATAGTGGGACGTTTTTTTTTTCAAAAGTGTGTAGCACCTTGAAAGCGTTTGTAAATTATAGTAAGGGACCTATGCATAGGTATGGATGTAAAGAAGCAAACTAATGATAATTTCAAGTAATCCTTTATTTATAATAATTGTTATTCATTAAACCCCACTATGAACCACTTTAATCCGGAGAAAGGAAACCCGAAATAAAAGAAAAAATATTAGCAGCGAATAAAGCTTATTTTGCAAACAAAAGATTACTTAAAAGCAAAACACTGACTAAAAAAAGTAAGATGAGCATTTATAACACCATAATTAGGCCAATATTATTATATGCAGGAGAAACAATGTCGATGGTTAAAAAAGATGAAGAAGACTTAAGAATAGCAGAGAGAAAGATTATGAGAACTATAATAGGACCAATCAGAATAGAGCAAAATGAATATAGAAGCAGAACAAATCCATAAATTAAGGAAGGACTTAAGCAAGACATCGTAACTAAAATAAAGCAATGCAGAGTTAGATGGTTAGGTCACATTTGGCGAGCAGGCGATGAGGCAGTGACATACGCAATGATAGAATGGAATCCAGGAGAAAGAAAGAGAAGGGGAAGACCGAGATCAAAGAGGCTGAAAGATGTTGAAGAAGACCTCCAAAGGGCAGGAGTCGGAGAATAAAGAGGAAGAATTCTTCTTCTTTTTGTGCCGCTCCTATCGGAGATTGGAAATCATCAAGGCTATTCTGACCTTGTTTACGGCTGACCTAAAGAGTTCATTAGTGGTGCAGCCATACCACTCTCTCAAATTCCGCAACCATGACATTCTTCTACGGCCTGGATTCCGTTTTCCTTCTATTTTTCCCTGCATTATATTTTGAAGTAATGCGTATTTATGTCCTCTCATCAGGTGACCAAAATATTCAAGTTTTCTTCGCTTTAGCGTTAACAAAATCTCTGGGTCTTTTCCTATTCTTCGTATTACTTCACAGTTTGTTATTCTTTCAACCCAACTAATCTTCAGCATTCGACGGTAGCACCACATCTCGAAACTTTCAATATTTTTCATGTTGTTCTGTTTGAGAGTCCAGGCCTCTACACCGTATAATAGAGTGTTAAATACATAGCCTCTCAGCATTCTTAATCGTAGAGGGATGCTTATATTTCTGTTACAGAAGAATTTTCTCATCTTTATGAAGGTGGCCCTAGCAATTTCGATACGTCTTTTTATTTCACTGTTTTGGTCTCCAGTTTCGTTTATTAAAGTTCCCAAGTATTTGTAACTTGATACTTTTTCAACTTGAGTGCCGTTTATACTAATATACGCTAGTTGTGTCATGTTTTTACTGAAGACCATATACTTGGTTTTTTTAATATTGATATTTATACCATAATTGTTGCAAGCAATATTTATGTTTGTAAGTAATCTTTGTAATTCTTCTACTGTTCTTGCAACTAGTACAGTGTCGTCCGCGTATCGAATATTATTTACAATCTCTCCATTAATTACGATTCCTCCGTTTGCTTGTAAAAGGGCTTCCTGACAGATGCTTTCACTATATACATTAAATAACAGAGGTGACAAAATGCAACCTTGTCGTAATCCTCTACGTATTTCTATTGCTTGTGATGTTTCAGTTTCTATTTTGATGTTAGCTTTCTGGAGGAAGAATTAGAGACAGGAAAAAATGGAGAGATATTGTCAAGAAGGTAAGATCAATAAAAAAGACTGATCCACTTAAGAAATAGGTTTTAGAAAGCATTTGCGGTTTAACCTCACACTGGGGTGTACAGACATCATATATATGAACCACTATATAGTCCATTGTGGGAATCATAGTGGTCCATAGTGGGATTTTTAATAAAAAACCCTTTTACTCTATTTTGAATTGGAAAAAATTCACAGGGAACATAAACTGGCGAGCAGCCCTAGCTGTACTTTCACTAATAGCAGGAGGGACAGCTTAGTAAAATATCTTCTGCTCCTACGGTATCTACATCGGGTTTGTAGGGAAAACATATTTGCCGGCCGACATATTCTCTTCATGAAAGAGATATTATATTCATCTCCACTTATCAATAAACTGACGTACAGTTTGTTTAACAGATGTTTAAGATTTTTTTTGTCATGTATCTTACTATAACATATAGTCCTGACTGAATAGACAAATCTTGATTTTTTGATGTGAAGCTTTCTAAATCGCTAGAATCGTTGCAAATCGCGTCACTAACATCACTGTTCGAACTAATGTCGTCATTAAAAACTTGACGTTTTACTTTTTTTATTCTCCTGCTAGTGTTTTTTTAGCCAATCTTTTTTATGTTGTTCCTCTATGGCATCTCTTATGGGAGTGTCTGTTATTATTGCTAACTCTAGCTTCTTTCTGTTTCTCCTGAGGCTTTTCCTAGGAGCAGGTTTGGCATGTGGCCTAATTTGCTTCTTATATTCGTTACCATTTTCATTTTCTTCAGGCATATCAGTGACATAAGATGACATAAAATCAGTCTCTTAAAAAATTTGGGAATTCAGGGGTGCTATGCTTGTTTTTTTTTTAAATCTGTTGAGAATGTTGACAGGAGTGAATGCTTTAGGGTAGGCGGTATCAACAACATTACAATCATGTAACAAATAAATGACTGCAAATGGGTAAAAATGTCAGTAAAATAATTCCACTATCTTTACACAGATTCAGCACACGAATATCGTAATGGCTATCATGGTTGTCAAGAATTAATAGAACTGGGAAATCTTTACTGCATCGCATGTGTTTGATAAACTGTTCTATATACTTCAAACAATTGTCTGCCGTCGTCCAACCAAAGGAAAAAACACTGCACCGGCTTATCCTAGAGGAGCCCAATAAGCATAAAAGGCTTAAATATTTTCCTCGGGAATACAAAAAATGGAGGCACTTAAGTCCCATTAGTGCATATTGCAGTGCACATTGTTATTAATGTGCCTCTTTCAGCGCTTGTCACTTTTCCAATTTGTTTTTGTTTAATGCTAGCAAGTACCTCTCCGGGTTTATGTACATTGGTGACACCAGTCTCAACACAATTGTATATCTGGTTCGACTGGATCTTATATTTCGTTATCACACTTCTCCAGTTTGTAAAAAATGTAGCCACATTATCCTTGTTGAAGCTAGTGGTCGTGCCAAGGCCAGTTGCTGCTAGTTTTCGAAACGAGAACATAGGGTGTCGTTTTCTAAAATTATTCAACCATTCGACTCCAGCTCGTTTTATCTTGTGCCAAGTTCGAGGTACCGTTTTATTATAAGATAATTTACGAGTATGTATTAATTGTAAGTTGTAGCACATTTCACAAGCCTGAATTATGTACTCTCACAATAGCTGTTCCTCTCTACTTGTAAACGTTGTTTTGAAACCATGTGTTCGTCAATATTTAAAATCATTTGTGTTGACTTCATTAGCTAATTTGAACTTCTTCACTTTGCGCTGTAGAGCCGACTTGCTTACACTATCCTTTTTGGATGCACTCATCAATGACATTTGATTTTTTACAACATTTTCTACTGCAGAATGCACAGGCCTTGGATATACTTTATGATTCTCTCAGCTTTTTCCGAAAACTGCTGACAGTTGAGTTCTTGGATGTTTCGGCATATTCAGTTTTGCAAAGAATGAAAATGTTTAGCATGTTTTAGTATATTTCAAAGTGGTAGAGCTGGGTTTAAACAGAATATAGTTTTAGTAAGTAAGAAAAAACAAAATTTGCTTAACTTACTGATGTTTGTATTTTGAGATCGATTTCTGAAGTGGAAATTAAAACGTCAACAAACGTTCTTTAACTTTTAATTGGGGCTTATTCCCATTTAAATAGTACTTACTTTAAAATGCGATAAGAAAATAGCTTCAAAACAATATTAAAACATTTTCAGCTGATCACTCACCTGAATTTCCAAAATATCGAAACGCACGAAACTAACAAGAGATTCGGAGGCGACACTTTTATGATAGCATACATACTGAAAAATAGCTCTACCGCGACGATAAAATAGCCAGGAGAGTGAAATTCCCATTATGGATCACGTCCCATTATGGACCAATTTACCCTACATATTATTCCATATGATTTTGGAAAATATCGAAATCATAAATTCATAATGAGTTTTAAAAGACCTATAATGCAAAGTGAAAATCACCAATATTTTATTACAAAATTGTTTTGTGGGATAAAAAACTAGAAATTTAAGCCCAAAATTAAAATAATCAATAGAGCCCTTTTTGAAAAATGTGAATTGTATTAAAATTAAATGTCATTCAGAGGGAGACTACCAAGGAAGTGGTTTCATGCCGTCCGGACCGACATAAAAGAAATGGGAACAAGAGACTGGAAAGATCAACTAAAGGACCGCAAAAAGTGGAAAGAAACTACGCAATACTATCGAAGCCAAGGGTCTTTAGGGCATCTTCGCTTTAAATGTTCGCAAAAGTTTACATCCTCACAATCTGTAAGCCTATAAATTTATTTAATGGGAGTAAAAACGTAACTAGAGTGTCTTAACTAGAAAGAACAGGCAACTACGTGGCGCAATCTGAGAAAATTGTGACGTCCATCACATGTAAAGGATAAAAGCTGACATAACAATTTCTGTAGATCTGGGGAAATTTTAATTTAACTGTAAAGTGATGTCTTTCTCGTTGTAACAATTTTTTTCCATCAAACTGGGTATGCATGAATTAGGAATAACAAGTTCTTTAAAAAACTGCAAAATATCCAGGGTGTCCCATAAATTCAATAAGTCAAGGGTGTTTCCGATGAAACCCGAAAAAATATGATATCAGATTCTCTATATGTCATTATACTTAGGGGCTTATAAGCATTACGTAATACTTATACGTTCAAGCAGTACGTAAACAGATTTACTACAATTATGGACCCCCTTTCTTCTTCTTAGCAAAAGTAAACAAAACTCTTACGCCCCCCTTGTATTGTAAACATTTTTGTATGTGTGTTTTAATGTATTTCGTTTTTTTTATTGACTCATGAGCAGCAGTTAAAATTCTAGAAATAAGAAAATGAATTTGGGATAGGTGATTTTACGTACATAATATTCAATTAAATACAATTTATTGACACAATATTCAACATAGAGTAAGGTACTATAATACTTAAGATTATAAGTATTATAATCTTAAGTAATAATATGAACAAATAACTTTTTCAAATTTTTGGTATACATATAAATCCAATTAACAGTTTTGTTCCATGACACCCGAATCCATGATTAAAGTCTTTAAGATTTTGCTGCTCAATGTTCAGTCGATCATGTTGACCTTAATATGCAGCCGATTCTGTTGACCTTAACATTATACAAATTTATGCACCAACCTTGGACAAGCCTGAATACGAAAATAAAATGAAATGGGAGATTTCAATGCGAAGGTAGAGCGAGGACGTGTTGAAGATGTCGTAGATGACTTTGGTGTGGGAAATTCAAACGAGAGAGGTGATATGCTAATCCAGTTCTGTTAAGAAGAAATGTAAGTCATTGCGAATACCTGGTACAAACTGCCACCTCGGAGACTCTATACCTGGCAGTCTCCACAACATAATCATGACAACATCGTAAGAAATCAAATTGATTTTTTATTGATTAATCAGAGATACAGAAATGGAATAAAAGGAGTAAAAATGTACCCTGGAACAGACATTGGATCTGATCACAATCCCGTGGTAGGAAAATTGAAAGTTAAGCTTAAGAAAATTAAAAGAAAATCCATAAAGAAAATTGATATAAACAGCTTAAAACAACCTAACGTTAAACTAAAAGTCACAGAAAAATTAAATGACGCAATAGCGGATATCAAGGCAAGATCTAATTAACCGGCCAGTATAGAAGACAAATGGAATTGTATTAAAAAATCTATCGTAACCACCACTAAGTGTCTGATCGCCTCCCAAAAAATACAAAAAGGAGAATTAGATGACTGACGAAATATTATCAATGATGGACGAGCGCGAATCATTCAAAAACAAAGACCGAACCAAACATCAGCAGATTAACCGACAAATACGAAAAGAGTGTCGCAAAGCTGAAGAACAGTGTCTGCTAGACAGGTGGGCAGAAACGGAGGAATTGGAAGAAAAACATGACCACTTTAACATACATAAACTCGTTAAAGAAGTGACAGGTCATACAAAACCTTGCAGTATTGTGAAGAATAATAAATTAATTACTGATCTCAAGGATCTACTTCAACATTGGAGAAACTACACACAGCAACTATACTCAGACAACACCAGAAGAAACTCTGAAAGTGAATATAAAAGTAAACCCTCCTCCAAAATATTGAAGTCAGAAGTTGAAAGGGAATTAAACAGAGCAAATGGAGAAACACACCAGGCCCAGACGACATATACATAGAGGTTCTAAAATTGTTGACTGAAGACAATATAGACGCCTTGGTAGATCTTTTTAATGACATTTATGAGTCCGGTCAAATACCACAGGATTGGCTTCAATCAACCTTTATACCAATCTGAAAAAGCCAAACGCTAATAGTTGCGACCAATTCGAAATGATCAGTTTATTGAGCCAGGTCCTAAAACTCTTCTTAAAAATAATTCACACAAAAATATACTTCTTCTTAGTCGTTAGCCTGATGCAGGTATCGTGATATCATGAAGCTATTATCTAAGTTTCCCAATGTTCCTCCACGTTTTTCTATCTTCTGCCATTCTAGCACATTCTGACAATGGTGCGCCAATGGTAGCAACAATATGGTCCATGTATCGTGTGGGAGATCTACCTCTATTTCTTTTGCCTTCTACTTTTCCCTGGATGGTAAGTTTTTCAAGACCATTTCTTTGAAGCACATGTCCAAAATAGCTTATTATTTGTTCTGATATTTGTGTTCTTAGTCTTTTCTTTATGTTTAGCTGGTCCAGTATGGATTTATTTGTTCTTCGGGCCACCCATGGTATTCTCAGCATTCGTCTCCAGCAGTACATCTCAAATACATCTATGTTCTTTTTGTCTTTCTCAGTAAGGGTCCAGCATTCCGATGCATAAGTAAAAACTGGAAAAACTAGACTTCTTACTAGTCTCATTTTTGTATCGGTAGTTATTTCATGGCTTTTCCAAATTTTTGTTAATTTTGCCATATCGCTTTTTGCGATTGCTGACCGCCGCTTTATTTCTTTAGTACAGCCTCCTTTGATGGTTATTAATGACCTCAGATACACAAATTTATCTACAGCAGCGATATTGTTCATCATGACCAGATGATTTTGATTGTTGTTAGCTCTGTCAATTATCATGATTCTCGTTTTATCTCTGTTTATTTTAAGGCCCATCGTTAAGCTTACGTCTTCTATCCGTTGTAGCAGGTGAATCAATTGGTAACAGTCGGAAAAACAGAGAACTTTGTTAAGTAAAGATTGATTTATTATTGCGTAAAAAGTAAAGTTTTTTAAATTTGTTAAATATATTAAACTAGCTACTTCAATGAATTAGAATCAAATATTGTGCCCGTGTAGATCATCTTCTAAGAGACACACTTTTATTTCGGTATAATATACGAATGTATCAACCAATTCTAGTTTTTATATGGGAAAATATCTGAGTAATACTAAAATTACTATATTACTTCTCTAACAGTGTATGTCTCAGTACTTGACATTATTTTACCTCCGGTCATTATTGGAATTGAGTAGTCATTATTAGAATGAAGTAACATCGATTCTTTATGTATCACCCAATATAATCAACCAATAAAAGCATTCGCTAAGTAAATTATACAGTTTAGATTTGGTTAACAAATTTGGTAAATAGTTATTAATTAAAATATAATCTAACAGGTTTTTTTATTTGAATAACAAATTTTAATTTAGTAAATATTTATCATTATATAATGTAACAGGTTTGTCCATGACCCTTGAAAATAAATCCTGCTTTGATGATGGTTAGTTCGCACTAGATAGTCAAAAATTATTCGATTGAATCAGAACCGGTCTGTATTAATTCTGATTTAAATTAACGTAAAATAAATAAAGAGATAAAAAAATAAATAAAGACATTTCCTGTAAAAAAAATAAGAAAAAAAAATCAACATCCAAGTAATGGAGCTACTATTAACTTAAGTCTAATTAATGGAGCTACATTTAATATAATATTAAGAGTACTGTATAAAGATTTTTTTAGATATTCTGAAAAGACATTCGTCGACTTACAATTGATCAAACAAATCGGCGTCAAAGACTTTGATCACTTCACCGACCACAGAACAGTCATATCTGAAGAAGCTGATCCACTGTGGGCAAAAAATCTGTTTGCCTTAACAGGTACGTTGTTAAATTAAATGGTATTACATTAAATCATTTATATTTTCTATAGCCTGCTTTATTCCTAGCTGTTTTGCTCTTCACTCTAACGTTTCTTCTTCCTTTGTTTCTTCTTATATGTTAGGTCACTTTACTGTATTCATATTTTTAATTATGATATTTAACCTTCATGTGCTTTTTTTATAAACATCTCATAATGAACAACTTTTTGTTACTTGAAGAATTTAATTATTTTGATTGTGATTTTGATTCTATTTTTAAAAAAATATGCTTTTTCAGGGCAAAAATGGCGGGACATGAGGCCAATTCTAAGCCCATCTTTTACCAGCAGCAAAATGAGAGATGTTCGTTTTGATATCCGAAACGGCACAATCTTTTACCAAACACTTTTTAGATCTCGATCAAGATGTTATGGAGATCGAAATGAAAGACACATTTACGCGTTTTACCAACGACGTTATTGCTACGACTGCTTTTGGTATTAAAATTGATTCAATGAAGAATAAAGACAACGAATTTTTTGTTATAGGTAAAGATATCACCAGCTTCAGTGGATTTTGGAAAAGTCGAAAACTTTTAGGAATAGTATTTTTTCCGAGATTGTTTACAATAAGTAGAAATATTGAGTATGTTGCTAATGATAATATTTTCATTTCTGCTTTAGCTTATAAAAGTTGGCATGTTCAATGGACGTGTCAGAAAGTTTTTCACTGGTATTATTGATGATACAATCAAAGTCAGAGAAGAAAAGGGAATAGTACGTCCAGATATGATCCATCTTTTAATGGAAGCAAGGAAAGGAGTTCAACAACATAAAGAAAAAATTATAGATACAGGATTTGCGGTTGTTGCTGGTCATGGTGTTGCGGACATCGCTGCTCAGTCTATGATCTTCTTCTTTGCTGGTTTTGATTCGATATCTTCGTTAATGTGTTTCGTATCCTATGAGTTAACAATCAATCCTGACATTCAAAACCGACTTAAAACAGAAATAATGGACACACTAGAAAAGTACAATGGCGACGTACCATATGAAGCGATATTAAAAATGAGATATTTAGACATGGTGGTATCAGGTAAGAAAAATAGACGAATAGTTGTAATTATTTTTTAAATTTATTCTTTTTGTTTCGAATAATAAAAACAATAAAAATGGAAATATTTTGATGCAAATTAAGTGTGATGTATTCAGATTTTTATTTTTTGTAAAGGGGCTTCGAAAATGGCCACCAGGTGCAGGAGTGGACAGAATTTGCACCAAACCCTACATGATTGAACCTACCACACCAGACGAGAAACCTGTCTATCTGAAGAAAGACACAGCAATATGGTTCCCAATCTATGCTATTCACCGTGATCCTCAGTACAGTCCAGATCCAGAGATGTTTAACCCTGAAAGATTTAACGATGAAAACAAACACAACATTCAACCTTACTCTTACATCCCCTTTGGAGTTGGCCCTAGGAACTGTATCGGATCTAGATTTGCACTTTTGGAGAATAAAGTCGTGTTCTTTCATTTATTGTCCAACTATGAGCTAAAGCCTTCGGCAAAATCACCAATACCTCTGAAAATTTGTAAAAAGCCATTCAATTTGGCTGCCGAAGAAGGTTTTTGGTTTAATATGAAACGTAATAAATAAACGGAAATAAATTGAAAAATTGAAATTGATCTGATAATATTTTGAATTGAATTACTTTTAGTTAAAGATTATTTTTTGGGTTATATTACCATTTATTTTATATATAAAATAAATATATTTTTACACTGTAGGATTTTTTTCTTATTCTGATTATACATTTTGCGTATATCAGGTAATTTCTTAATACCTTCAGAAAATTGCATAAGGTATTGTATAATTGTATTCCAAAAACATAAAACCTTTGTATTGATACTAATTGGCGGCTGACAAACATTTTCATTTTGAATAATTGATGGATTCGACCGTTACTTGATGGAAATTCATTTTATGTAACAATAAAACACTGAAAACTTTGTTCTCAAACTTCCACAAAATTTATTTTAAATATTATCACTACAGCTGTTTCGGCTGATTGCCTTTCTCAAGTGATCTATTTTGGCTTGGGTTTACAAATTTATAGTCTCTAATGAAATAGGTTGAGGAGGGGAGAACTGTTTGTCTCAAGTTGGTCATTCAGAATTATATCTGTGTTTTTTAATTTGTTGATTTCCATAGATTCTAACAAAGATAGCTTAAGGCCTTTATTTTGAATGTGAAGAATTTTAAATTTGTCATTAAAAGAATGATTATGATCTAGAAGGTGAAGTGCGTATGTCGAATCTGTTTTTCTATTCTTGAAAGCCCTTTTATGTTCTGCTATTCGTTTATCAAAGTTTCTACCAGTTTGACCGATGTAAGTTTTTGGGCAGTCGCCACATTGGAGTTTGTATACACCACTATTTAAGTGTTTTTTATTTTGGCTCTTGTTATTTTTAATATATTTGCCTAGGTTGTTATTTGTTCAGAAAGCTGGTGTTATTCCTTTCTTTTTTATGTGTTTGGCAATTTTTGTTGTTATTTTGCCTGTATATGTAATCGAGCAGAAGGTACTGGGTTTTTTCTCTGGTGGTGGAAATACTAATTTCAGGGCTTTCTTGTGTAGTTTTTGATTTAATATTTTATTAATTGTTTGTTCGTTGTATCCGTTGTTTACTGCTATTTGTTTAATTATATTTAATTCTGTCTCAAAGTTGTCTTTTGACATCGGAATTTCTGTTAATCTATGTAACATACTATGATAAGCTGCCAGTTTATGTTGTGTTGGATGGGATGACGAATTGTGTATAGTCGTGTCAGTATGGGTAGGTTTATGAAATATGAAGAAGTCATGTTTGTTTTGAAGTCTGCTAATTTTTAAATCTAAAAAATTTATGGATTGATTTTGTTCTGTTTCTATTGTAAATTGAATATGACTATGAACTGAATTAATATATGATAAAAATTGGTCGAGTTGCCTGTTAGTTCCTGTGAAACATACCAGTACGTCGTCTACGTATCTCCACCAATATAAAAACTGTTTGAATACGGGATGTTTTGAAATCTTTGTCTCTAGATGATCCATAAAAATATCTGATAACAATGGGCTTAGAGGATTACCCATTATAAGTCCTGCACTGTTATTTGTATATATTTTATTATTAAATTCAAAGTAGTCCTGGTTTATGCAAACTTCAAGAAGATGTAAAATTTCAGATGTAATTATTGGATTTGTACTATTTTGGTCTAAAAGGTTTTTTCCTAGTATCCCTCCTACAGAAACTTTTATTCTAGTAAAAAACCTTTTAGACCAAAATAGTACAAATCCAATAATTACATCTGAAATTTTACATCTTCTTGAAGTTTGCATAAACCAGGACTACTTTGAATTTAATAATAAAATATATACAAATAACAGTGCAGGACTTATAATGGGTAATCCTCTAAGCCCATTGTTATCAGATATTTTTATGGATCATCTAGAGACAAAGATTTCAAAACATCCCGTATTCAAACAGTTTTTATATTGGTGGAGATACGTAGACGACGTACTGGTATGTTTCACAGGAACTAACAGGCAACTCGACCAATTTTTATCATATATTAATTCAGTTCATAGTCATATTCAATTTACAATAGAAACAGAACAAAATCAATCCATAAATTTTTTAGATTTAAAAATTAGCAGACTTCAAAACAAACATGACTTCTTCATATTTCATAAACCTACCCATACTGACACGACTATACACAATTCGTCATCCCATCCAACACAACATAAACTGGCAGCTTATCATAGTATGTTACATAGATTAACAGAAATTCCGATGTCAAAAGACAACTTTGAGACAGAATTAAATATAATTAAACAAATAGCAGTAAACAACGGATACAACGAACAAACAATTAATAAAATATTAAATCAAAAACTACACAAGAAAGCCCTGAAATTAGTATTTCCACCACCAGAGAAAAAACCCAGTACCTTCTGCTCGATTACATATACAGGCAAAATAACAACAAAAATTGCCAAACACATAAAAAAGAAAGGAATAACACCAGCTTTCCGAACAAATAACAACCTAGGCAAATATATTAAAAATAACAAGAGCCAAAATAAAAAACACTTAAATAGTGGTGTATACAAACTCCAATGTGGCGACTGCCCAAAAACTTACATCGGTCAAACTGGTAGAAACTTTGATAAACGAATAGCAGAACATAAAAGGGCTTTCAAGAATAGAAAAACAGATTCGACATACGCACTTCACCTTCTAGATCATAATCATTCTTTTAATGACAAATTTAAAATTCTTCACATTCAAAATAAAGGCCTTAAGCTATCTTTGTTAGAATCTATGGAATACAACAAATTAAAAAACACAGATATAATTCTGAATGACCAACTTGAGACAAACAGTTCTCCCCTCCTCAACCTATTTCATTAGAGACTATAAATTTGTAAACCCAAGCCAAAATAGATCACTTGAGAAAGGCAATCAGCCGAAACAGCTGTAGTGATAATATTTAAAATAAATTTTGTGGAAGTTTGAAAACAAAGTTTTCAGTGTTTTATTGTTACATTTTCATTTTGAACTATTTAAAACTGCTTCTTCAAACTTAATGATTCAATGGTATCAAAAAGAATGTGTGGTTTAGAACTCTTTACCATTCCTAATTGTTTCACTAGCAACGGATCTTAATTTTGTTCCTTAAATGTTCTACAACATTTTCCAATATTCAATTTCTCTAGAGACATAAGTTAATAACAATAAATTATTCGCATTTCAATCTGTCTCGTTGTGTTATTTTTACGGAGTCCTTAGCAGGTTCCAAATCTCACCCTATTTTATTTTGTTCGTACTCTTTTAGCAACTTGCTTATTTTCAAAATTATTTTAACGTACAGGGACAAGATAAGGGCTAAAAGCTCAGAAAATATTGAAGGCATGCATTACTTATTATTATTATCTCCAGATTTAGCCATACGGCTCACACTCCCTCTAAGGGGAAAATTCACTCATCCCAGATAACTACGGTATCAAAAGGATTGAGCTCTGGTGCGACTCTTTCCGTGTTATCGAACCCTAGGTAACTTGGTACGCTGGAGTATCTCTAGAAAATTTTCACATACATCTGGACGTTGAGAGTACTCCAGGTTTCTGCATGGTCTTATAGAGATGTTCATTTAGACCCAGTTGTTCATGTTCTCTAGGAGGTTTTTGGGAATAACACCAGTAGAAGATAGAATAATAAGTACTGTCTGGGTACTTTCCATTCTCCATTGTCTCCTGATTTGTATTTCTAGATCTCTGTACTTGGCGATCTTTTCGTTGTATTTAACACGAAAATTATTGCTGTTAGGTATTGTTACATCAATAAGTGTTTGCCTGGTAAGTTTGTTAACTAGTATGAGATTCGGTCTATGATGTACCACTGGTTGGTCTGTGAACATAGTGCAGTCCCAGTAGAGCTTGTAGTTGTCATTTTGAAATATTTTTTAAGAGACGTATTGATAGTAAGGAAGATGGTCGGTTTGGAGAAGTCCCAGTTTGTCAGCTAGTTATTGGTGGATAATTTTTTTACTGAATCTTGGCGTTCTTTATAATGAGTACCGACAAACGCCTAGCAGCCCCCGGTAAGATGTTGGATGTTTTCTTAAGCTTGGCAATTTTTGTCGTAATATCCTTGAATTTTGTCTTTGATCTTACCCAGTCGTTTCTCCTTTTATCTAACAGCCGTATATCTTACATTGCTCTTTCCATTGCTCTTGCTGGTGTGGCTAGTTTATTCATATTTGCTTTCGTGAGGGTTTAGATGTGACATTCATATGTGATAATAGGAAGAATGCATTGGTTGACCTCTTTGCTTAAATATTGAGGTATTTGTGGTTCTTCAGTATTAAACTGAGTTTTCCAGATCCTGCTATGCCAGTCTGGTTCTTCTAGTGATTTCCGCAGTATGGTTTTCGTTGTCAAGTTTTAGAATTTGGTCTGGGTAGATATATTCCTGGACTTGTTCTATCTCACTGTCACTTATAGTTATACGTCTGGGATCATCTGTGTTAGTCATTGTTTTTATTTTTGTCATATTCATTTTAAGGCTGACGTATTGGGAGCTGTCTGCAGGTTTACAAAAATTGTCCCTAAGAATTCTAGATTGTTATATCTAAATATATATAACATCGGTCAAGACAACTTGAGTTTTTTTAGTAGGAGCTTTCAGAGTTTAATCTTCCATAATTAAAAGTTAGCTTAGTAGCTCTTCGTTGTACTCCTTTTAATAAATTAATCTTCCTTTGCACATGGGATGACAATGCAAATTCTAGATGAAGTCTAACATAACTTTTGTAGAGTTTTAAAGTCTGGTGATTGGAGACATTATATGAAAAACTTTTCATATAAGGTTTAAAGCAGAGTTTGCTGTAGTAACTACTTTTGCTGTTTGAGTAGACCAACTTAATGTTTTTTTGACTGTAATACCAAGAGTATTAACTTCCTGTACCGATTTCAGAGGAACTCCATGAAAAAAATATGTTGTATGTGGACTAGTATATTCACATTTAACGACACAATACTTACGCGTATTTATTGGAATAGCTCATTTCATGCTCTATACTGAGAGCTGGTTAACGTCACTCTGAAG